CGTGCTTATCTACGTACCTAGCCATGCTCGTACTTATCTACGTACCTAGCCATGCTCGTACTTATCTACGTACCTAGCCGTGCTCGTACTTATCTACGTACCTAGCCATGCTCGTACTTATCTACGTACCTAGTACGTACGTACACGTAAGGTACGTCGCACAGCACGTGCCCGGTCCTGTAACCGTGCCCTGCTATGCACTCTCGTATAACATCTAAACCTAGGGTTTCCGCGAAGCCTAGAAGCTCTTGCTCATGCCTAGATATCCTGCTCATGCCTAGACTTTCTGCTCATGCCTAGACATTGCTCATGCCTATACGTGCTTCACGTGCCTAAACATTCTGCTCATTCATAGATATTCTGCTCATGTCTATATATTCTGCTCATGCCTAGATATTCTGCTCATGCCTAGACATTCTGTTCATGCCAAGACATTCTGACTGCTCATGCCTAGACATTCTGACTGCTCATGCCTAGACATTCTGACTGCTCATGCCTAGACATTCTGACTCTGCTCATGCCTAGACATTCTGATTCTGCTCATGCCTAGTTTTGCACATGCCTTTTCATTCTACATTTTACTATAATTTCAGCACACTCCTGCATGGCTCCTAAATATGCCTATATCTCCTGCTCATGGCTTCCTGTTGCCTTAACGTTCTCCGTGGTTCTAAATTTTCCCGTCCTAAACCTCCTACTTCTTCTCTTCGACGAGAGCTTCTGCACGTCCCCTAGATTTTTTTTCTTCTTGTGCACGTGTAGAATCTCTGGATTAGAAGGATAGACACATCTAGGACGCCCCCTCAGGGGGGACTTGTGACGCGTGTCTGTGCGCCTCAGAAGTCCTATGGGATTTCGCGTTCCTAGGGGGATTGTTCCTGAGCGCCCCACCGTTGAGCTCGCGGTGTCTGACTGCAGGTCTCAGTTGTGGGGTTAAGTTATTATGTAGGTAGGATTCCTTACATCAAGTTATTATGTAGGTAGGATTCCTTACATTTCCCTTCTCTGTCTCTCTCGTGCGGGCGGCCGACGTCCCGTGTAAGCGACCTCTTGTTCGAGTGTCTTCGTTTCTGTTGCTTTTCACCTGTCCCTCCTTGTCACGTCGTCTCTTTGAGATGCTAACGCTGCTTCTTTCGAGCCAGCTTCAGCCGGCTGGACATCTGAGACCTTCCGCCCCTTGTGGGTGATGAATAATTGAGACCTTCCACCTCTATGGTGATGTTCATCTTGACTTTCGGTGCGAGATAGCTAAATAGCTGAAGCGCTAGTAAACATTTGGCCACTAAACTAAACTAAACTAAACATCTAGGACGCTTACGTCTGCCTATATGCATCTCATTCTTGACATAAATTTAGGCCTTCTGCACGTGCCTTGATTTCTCACGCTCACGTAAACCTTCTGCACGTGCCTTGATCTCTTGCGCTCACGTAAACCTTCTGCACGTGCTTTGATTTCTCACGTTCACGTAAACCTTCTGCACGTGCCTTGATTTATTGTGCTCACGTAAACCTTCTGCACGTGCCTTGATTTATTGCGCTCACGTAAACCTTCTGCACGTGCCTTGATTTATTGCGCTCACGTAAACCTTCTGCACGTGCCTTGATTTATTGTGCTCACGTAAACCTTCTGCACGTGCCTTGATTTCATGCGCTCACGTAAACCTTCTGCACGTGCCTTGATCACGCAGTAATCGCGCTGCAGTTAACGTTACCATAAGCAGTTACCGCGTTGCATGCACGCAGTTACAGCGCCAAAGTTCAGAATCTGACAAGTTTTATCACTTATCTTGTTGACTTATGTTGTTCATGTATTTTGTATTATATTATTATTCCATAAGTTATTTCCCTTTTCGTCTCCCCAGCAGCGGCATTTTCCCTCTCGCCTGGCCATATTATGTCTATTCTTTTTACCTTACAAGTTCGCTTCTTATTTTGCTGAAATATCTGTTGTTTTCGCCCTAAATATTCTTCCTCACTTGCTGGGTTCGTTTAATTTTTTATTTCCAGAAAGGTGGATAAATAATTATATTTAGCGCTAATTTATATTTTACTGTCAATTACGGAAGATATTGAAGGCACCGGCAGTGTTCGCAGTGCCAGAATATTATTATTATCAAAACCGGTGTTCGCATTATCATTATTATTGTTATTGATAGTATTAATATTATTTTTATAATCATTATTACAATATTTCACTAAAACCTTCGACTGCCAGCATTAGCATATAACAATTGTGCTCGATTATTTTGATTAGCTTTAATAGTTTTTATTTTTTATTTTATAGAGCATAGCTGAATATAAAACTGAAATTTGAATGAAAAAATTATCCCCACATGAATTTTTCAATTTCTGAAATTTCCTGACTTTTTTCAATTTCTACTTCTGTTTTTTTTTTCAATTTCCTGACTTTTTTCAATTTCAACTCCTGCTTTTTTTCAATTTCCTGACTTTTTTCAATTTCAACTCCTGCTTTTTTTCAATTTCCTGACTTTTTTCAATTTCAACTCCTGCTTTTTTCAATTTCCTGCAGGTTCCCGGTGGGGGCGAGAACAACTCAGCTGCAGGCAGCACTGCGGGGGGCGGCGGGGGAACATGGACTGGTGGGGGGGCTGAGGGGGACTGTGCCCCCTGTGGACTGTGGGGGGAAGAAGACTCAGACCTGATCAGGTCGTGTGGACTGTTGTCCTCAGCGCTGGGGCTGCACAAGAGCTTCAGCGAGTCTGACATATCCTGCGCCAACGGCGACGCTCTGCGACCCTGGGCCTCCGAGGTGCGTTATTATTAATTGATTGGGCCAATCATTATGTATTATGATCATTTATGACTTGATCATTGCATTTGTATGAGAGCTGATTATTATTTCCCCAAGGGTGTGCAATCATTGCTTCATCATTAGAATTTAATTTTTGCAATAGTAGGAGGTCCGTTTTCATCCGATGATTGGGGCAATCATTGGGCCAATCACAAGTATTATGGTCATTTAGGACTTGATCGTCGCACTGGTATAAGAGCTGACAATCATTACCCCATGTGTTCAATCATTGCTTCATAATTAGAATTTAATTATTGCACCAGTAGGAAGCGCGTTATCATCCGATGATAGGGGCTATCATTGCTACAATCAACATGCAATATTTATGATCAATTTGCATGAGTAACTAATCATTGCACTATATTGTCGATCTACTAGTGCCACTAGCGTTGTAAATAATTGCGTTACAATGCACGATTAGGGCCACTACTGGTGACTCGTTGCTCATGTGTTGCGTTTCAGAGTATCATAGAATTTTTCGTTAAACTTTACAAAATATTAATTTATAATAAAATGTTTTTCAAAAGTTATTCATGGTTTTCATATGGAATAGTTCAACGAGTCCCCGTCTGGGGGATCTTACACCTCCTTCCCCTAGCATCCCGGGGATAGAAAGTCTTAGGGATGAATGACTTTTCAGGAGAGAATCCCCTTGTATTCTTCCCCCTTTTTCCATGCCCTCCCCCTCCCCCCAACGGCGCACGTCACGGGGTGGGGCATTCCTAATCATCGCCCAGTTCCTCCCATCATCACTGGGGGGAGGGAGGTGGGGGGGCCGATGTCCCCACCGCAGTGACCGCCCCTCTCCCTCGGCATATTTTATTGGGGGTCAGACCGCGGTCTTTATTTCACTACAGCCCCCATAATTATTCCCCCCATATCGATAGATGGGGGGAATAAGCGGGGAATATCAGTTCTGGAGTCACCCACACATGACCCACATCCCCCACTCATAAATCTCCGTCTCCCACTCATAGCCCCTCGCCCCTCACTCGATCATAACCCCCTCACCCCTCATAACCCGCCGCTTCCACTCACAACCTTTCATCCCTTACTCATAACACACCGTCTCTCACTCACAACCACCGTCCCCCACTCATAACCCTCTGCCCTCCCCATAACCCCCGCAGGTGAACATGTCCAGCATGGGGGGCCGCGTGGAGGGGGTGTTCGCCCCCCGTCTGGATGCCGCGTCGCGCTCGTGCTCGACGTGGGTGGCGGTGGGCGACGTGGCGTCCACGTCCCAGCTGCCGTCGCCCCAGGCCCGCCCCGCCGCCCTCGACGCCACACCCGTCATCACCGCCGCCGACTTCATCAGATCCGTCAATAAGAAAGTCAGTGGCTTGATTAAATGCGAGTTTTCCTGTTGAGGTGGTAGTAAATGACACGGTGGCGAAGTTTTACTAAATATAGTACTATATTAGTGCTGAAGTATATTGTACTATGGGTTCCATTAATAGGAGTATATAGCACTATAGGTTCCATTAGTTTTACAATGTGTGCGAGTTAATAAATAGCAATTCGGTACTTGGTCTCTTTCTCATCCACATCACCGACATAGATGTGGCAGTGATCCCCGCCACTTCATCGTCATTTGCGGACACCAGGATTATAATGACCATCACGGACAGGAGGGACTGCGAGAGGTTGCAAGAAGACCTCTCTGCAATACATGACTGGGCACTAGTGAACAGCATGCAATTCAATGGAACCAAGTTTGGAACTCTGAGAGACAGAGGTAGCGAAAAGTTGTTACGGAACATCGCTACCTGCGATTTGATAATACAAAAATCGAAGAGCAGCCTCTCGTTTGCGATCCTAGAGTGTTGATCCCAGGTAAAGTATGGTGACCACATATAGCGGTAATAATCGCAGGAGGCCGGCGGCAGACCGGTTGGATCTTACGTTCATAATCAGAGAAGTGAAATTGATGATTGCACTTTTCATAGCCCTTATATGATCCCTCTCCTTGAGTACTGCTGCTATCTGTGGACCGTGTTCACGGTGGTCGCAGAGCCGCAGTTGGATCAGTCCAGTAAACCTCCACGCGAGGACCAAGGCTGTTTCTTGAAGGTTCACTGGACCTTCATTTCCGCGGCCAGGCCGAGACTGCTTACTGTCTTGTCCAAGGTGCTAAAAGGAAGGAAATTCACCCTTGAGACCTTCTAGAGATGACTGAACGTGTTTTGGGGCACAATCTCTGATCGTCAGCCTCTACACCACTACCGGCGGCAAGAAGCAAGCAACAGCATCGAACATCAGTTGGCCCAACTGAGGGCAGATACGCGGTACTCATAGACTGGCCTCTAAGTCCTCAATGGCAAGGACGACTTGCCTGCCTGTGTTACTGTGTGTTGTGTACAAGTTACTGTGTTGTGTGCAGGTTACTGTGTGTTGTATGTACAAGTTACTGTGTGTTGTGTGTACAAGTTACTGTATATTGTATACAGGTTCGCCAGAACTATATCAGACGGCGTCTGGTGAGCACCTACCGCGCCCTGCAGAGGTTCTCGCAGTCGTCGCTCCTGCTGCGCACCGACGGCGCCAGTGGCGTCATGGTGATTATATTCTCCCTACATTATCACCTTCACCCCCTCAGGCCCCTTTGGCCCCTCCCTCTATCACCTGCACATTACCATTAACTTCCTTATAATAGTCATGGTGATCATATTCTCCCTACATTATGACATTTACTGCCTCTATCACCTTCCTTATGAACTAAGTCAAATTTAACAATACTGATGGACCAAGGTGCGCCTCATGCATGCATAGTGAAAAATTGTCTTCATTAAAGCCATTTTCAGCGCTTTCATAATAGACTTCGTCAAAGTATTAGCATATAAGCGAATAATTACGTTTGCGATAGTAACTATTTCAAACAGTCACGTATTCTTAACGTATTAAAAAAATGCTGACAATATGGAATTTCTTGTGGTCTCGCGCGAATTATTTTTTGCAAAGAGCGACTCGAGTTCTTGACCGATCCTTGTTGTCCAGGTCGAGGCTGGAGGGATAACACTGGTGTTATTGACCGATCCTTGTTGTCCAGGTCGAGGCTGGAGGGATAACACTGGTGGTTCCTGGCCACTCCTACCAGACCCCGCAGGATATCTTCAAGATAATTAAGAAGGAGGTGGAGCTGGCGTCCCCCTTCGCCCCCACCCTGCCCCCCGCCGCTGCCCCCTCCCTCGCCACGACTTCGGGCGCTAAGGGGGGCAGCGGGGGGGCGCTCACGGCGCAGGATATAGAGCGTGACCGTGGGCGGCAACTGAGCAAATATGAGCGAAATATCATGATATTTAACTGGCTGCAGACCCTAGATGAGACCACCTACGACATGATGGCGTAGGCTGCAGACCCTAGATGAGACCACCTACGACATGATGGCGTAGGCTGCAGACCTTGGAGACCACTTACGACATGATGGCGTAGGCTGCAAACCTTGGAGACCACTTACGACATGATGGCGTAGCAGCTACCTCACGATGTGATGACATCCAAATCATCGTTACGACATGAGAGTCTAAGTAGTTCTGCTAACGACGGTTCGCACGCCACGACGTGCGAGTGTCATGCGTCGTGTCGCCACGACGCACGACACACGACACGACATACGACGCACGACACACGTGGAGACACGTCGTTTACACGACGTGTCTCCACGACTTCTTCTTGAGCAGCGTCGTGTACAGCAACGACCAAACCTCGTCTCTAAATCTGGGAAAGACATGAACCGGAATGAACCGGAATTCATTCAGCCTAATTGTTCTAATTCAGCGCGGGATGATACCCGCTTAATGTTTACGGTGTTTATTCGAAAAGTTTCTGTCTAATTGATGGATAAATTTACAAGGTGAGCCTTTCCATTGAAAGTAATCACGAAGAAATTATTCTTGATTTCTCTTATCAGTAATCAAAGCTTCTTTTCAAATTAGAATTGGTCTAACATTTGAGGAACTCAGTAATCGAGTTTTGCAAACTTCGATCCGCGCTTTTTTAGCGCATTTCCTCATTTATGGAAAAAAGGCGCAATTTTTTATGGATTGGCTGCAGGGTTGCAGTTTTTATCGTGAAATGAGAGGCTAAGTTCGTGTAAATATCACGAAACTTTCATTTCGTACTTTTTGATATTGTATATATATGAAGTGGTACATACCTAACATAATAGTGAATAAGCGCTTTAATTGTTATTATATACTTAACTATGTTTTGGCAATTTGAAGGCAGTTAAAATAACCGCCTGAGGGCAAGTGCAAAGCAGCCTGAGGTGTTGAAATTTTTTTGCTGCATAAATATGGCAGCCGACATCACACTATCTTTGTCCAAATAGCGATATATTTTTGCCAATGTGTGGGTTATCCTGACCCAGTTTGGTTCTCTAAAATATCGTAAATGTTCTACGCGCAAGTGTGTCACTATTTGGACAAGGTGACCCATTCATTATGCTGAGTGTCTCGTACTTTGATGCACTACACTCACTGATCGTTCACACGCTTGTCGCAGCTCACATGTATATATACAGCCTTTGGTGTACATATAATTGTTCAATGGTTGGAACTATGTTATTAATAATACAACTTAATTAGGCTGCAATATATATATTATCTTGCACTTACAAGGAACCTACTCTAAACTGTAAGCAACCGACGTCCTAATTTTTCGTTTCAATCTTATCATCCTTCTCGCTATCTTTCCTTCTATTTAATTCGGTCTTCGTATCCTTCTTGTTATCTTTCTTTCTATTACATTCAAGCTTCTATCCTGGCAGACCCCTAATAGCGGCTTTAATAAACCCTATCAACAGATGGGGTTCAAATGAACCCTTGTAATTGTAAAGGCGGCGGCCAACACCCTTTTGTATAATTGACCGCGAATATGTTTCCCCTTATATTAAAATAACATCGATAATTTACCTCTCACTAAGATGGTCACAATAAACCTTCTCACTCGGGAGTGAGAGCGAATACCTTTAGTTTGCATTAATGTCTGATAACTCCCATCAAAAGGGATGCTTGCGTTAAACAGCAACTTCATGGAAGTGATTGTGATAAGCCCCTTTTTGAAGAGGATTGAGATGAACCCCTCCTGGGAAGGGATTGTGATGAACCTCTTATCAGATGGGACTGTGGTGAGCCCTTCCAAGGAGGGGAGTGCGATGAACCCCTTCAAGGAGGGGATTGAGATGAACCCCTTCTAGGTGGGAATAAGGATGAAGCCCTTCTAGGAGGGGATTGAGATGAACCCCTTCTAGGTGGGAATAAGGATGAAGCCCTTCTAGGAGGGGATTTAGATGAACCCCTTCTAGGTGGGGATTGAGATGAACCCCTGCTAGGAGGGGATCGAGATGAACCCCTTCTAGGTGGGAATTAAAATGAACCCCTTCAAGTAATAGATTAAAATAAACTCCTTCCAGGAGAGGATGGAGATGAACCCTTTCTAGGATTAGATTAAGATGAACCCCTTCTAGGAGGGGATTAAGATGAACCCCTGTTATGTAGATGATGCGCAAAACCTTACATGTACGCGTTAACCCTTTTTTTACCTGATGACAGCGGCCAACTCCATGTGATTGCGATTAACCCTGTGTCAGAGAGTATAGCGATTGCTCTACGTGCACGTATAAAATGGTTCTGCAACGATGTATATACACAAATTATATTATACGTTTTTTTTCATTTATGTGATTTCAGTTTCGTTTGTCCTACGGAGATTATGGAAAATGTATTCAAGTTATTATGGCTATTTATACGATACATGATATTGAAACGTATCATAATTATGGTTATTTTTGGTGTAATATAAATATCATAATTTGTTTATGTAAGTGCTGAACTTACTAAGTCCAAGCCTTGCGTTAGAAATGCGCCTGCAATCAGCCACGCATGCTGCCTGTTCAACGACTAACCACGCGTGCTGTTTGTTCAGCGATCTGGATCTTTTTGTCCGTTCTGATCAATTGACCATAGCATAAAATCAAGTCCTAGTTGTCGTCTATTCACTAACTACTCATTATTTACGTGAATTTTTTATGGTTGTAGCTTGGTTGCGGTTGTTAACGGTGTACTCATGCTCATGCACCATCGTGCATGTTAAGTTTGTACATTTTGTTTTCATGTGCTAGAAATACGAAGGATGTATGTAACATTCAATATCTTATGCCTGTGGTTTGATGATGTACTAAATTGTGAAACCTTTTTATTACTTATCTAAAATGTATGATAGTAATTGGACAGTGTGTTTATATGTTCATAATACTTTCAAGAACCATGCGTTATAAAAGCTTATCATGCGTTCGTTTTAATAATAGATTCAGCCTTAAAGTTTCATTATTTCCTAATTGCGAAAGTTATTCAGTAATTTATTTAAACTTTTGAGTAAACGTTTCATTTTATGTTTCCATGAGTCTCTTTCCAAGTGTTGCCTCCTTCGATTGATGATGACGACTGTACGGTTATTATTCAGTTACAATCAATATATTAGATTGGTAATTCCTGCTAAATTTCATACAATCATCTGGCAGAAAATGAAGTTATACTCGCGAGATTTTTTCACGAATAAAAACAATCATTAATTGTGCAAAGTTCACTAAAGAAATATAAGTATATTAAATTTCTGACTGCTATCCAAGAACTGCATATATGACCCATCGGACACTTCGACGGCCGGTTTCAGTGACCAAGGAATATTTATAAATTACTAAACACAATAAACGGAATCTACGCATACCATGATTAGGTCGTGCGAGTTTGATTTCATTCATAACTTATAGGACTAAACGAGCCCAAATTCGCTGTGACCTAGAATTTTATCGATACAAAATAAACTCATTAAAGTTGAGCTTCGTGTATGAGTTTAAAACAAATCTCTGCGCCTGTTCAGGTCGTGAAAATTTTAAATAATTCAGCTAGGTTTCAGAGTTGGGCGTAGATACGGACATGAATCCGCGATGTTCAAGAAAATTTTACTTCATTACTGAGTAGATTTTGGATGAACTTTGCTCGCAAACTCTTGGAAGCCTCCCGTTGGTGATAAGGCCAGGAGTTTTTTTAATGAACGTTTACGAAATATGTTGGTCCTTGTGAAAAACTGGCTGCAATACTGTTCGCAAAAATGTCTGACTGGCAAAAATTTGAATGAAAACGGCTTCTAGTGTACCACATCGACACTTTTGGGACGAATTTCCATTAATGTTTTTCCACGCATAGGGCGGTCAAATCAAACCAATCAGGACCCAATTTAAAAGGGATATATTTATTGATATTACGCTTATGCTAGCATCGAAAGACGTTTTTTCTCTAATACGATTTTAATAAGCGCGCTAAACCCTAAGCTTTAGCACAATTTTCGCGCAGTGCTGACACTTCTATTCAATAATTTCGTGAAATCGAAGCCTATTTTAAATTATTTAACAACCAAGCTACTTATTCATAATACACTAGTGCTAGTGTTTTTTATAATTGATTTTAAGACTAGCGTTGTCAGAATCTTGCCGGCTTCGTTTTCACGCAGCGCCCTAAACGCTAAGTTCTGGCCTCTTTGCTCGACTAACGAACTTGGCGTTTAGAGCACTACGTGAAAACGAAGCAGACAAAAATAATTCTACAACCCTAGCAGGAGTGTATTGTGAATAAATAAATTCGTTGTGAATTAATTCAAGATCAGTTCCGATTTGAAAAATTTATGCTAAGAATATCTGACAAAACTTAGCTTTTGCGTGTTAAATAAAATCGAAACGGACAAAATAATTCTGACAACACTCGCAGGAGCGTAATGTCAATGAATATCATTGTTGTTAATTAGGTCAAGATCGGTTTCGATTTGAAGAAAATATGCGTGGAAAATTTGCTAAAACTTAGCGTTTACCGCGCTTATTAAAATTGTAGCGGACAATAAAATTCACGTTTCGGACAAATTTAACGTGTCGGACAAATTTACGGCCGGACTCCAGATTCAGTGTACATCGAATATCTCCCAAAGTACTGAACGTAGCTCGTGTACCAAGTTTCATCGAGCTACGTTCAGTACTTTGAGAGATATTCGATGTACAGTAAATCTGGAATCCGGCCGCGAGACCGGCTGTAAATTTGTCCGACACGTACAAATTTATCTGTCGATGCTAGCATAAGCGTAATGTCAATACATTTTGAATTTGGTCATGATTGCTTTCGGTTTGACCAACTTATGCGTGGATAACAAGTTATGGAAATTCGTCAGAGGAATTTACACCAATAATGTCAATGTGGTTTCTAGACTATTGTCTTGTAAATTGAGCTCACACCAGTAGTTGAGACCAACTAAATTCTGTGCAAATTATACGATAAAAAATTGGTTTAGTGTTCCAAAAACTCCGATGTTTATTACAAGCACTTGTCTTCATAATCCATGCTCATAATCTATCATTGACAGGTGATACATTTTCGAGCCATTCTTCTCAGAGCGTTGAATCTCAATCTACTTCTCCTTGCGAACCTTCACCAAAACAACGAACCTATTTATTATTTGTTGACGTTGTGCTTATGGGCTGTAATAGGTACTCTGTTGTTGAACAGTTGAAGAACTTTAAAGTTGCTGATTAGTTTCAAATTTCAATTAATCGAAATTTTGGTTTTAAACAATCTTTTCCTTCATTATATTAAAAAAATGACGAAAATAACCGGCGAAAACAACCAAGATTTGGAAATGTCTGTGGCTGAAGCTAATGACGTCGAAGGGGAATTGAGTTATGAAGAACGATTGGCCAGGTGTACAGAAATTGCGAAGCCTATGAGTTCCAAAAAAACGTTGGGTAGAATCAGGAAATTGATAAAGAAAGGTGAGCAAGTTTTTTAAATCTAGTTGTAGATACTTAAGAAGCTTCATTATCCTTCATACCTGATTAAATTGTGAGTCTAGCACAATAATTCTACTCTCCACTTTGGAGCAAAATTGTTTCATTATCAGTCTCTAGACTGTAGACTCTCTGACTCTAGTCTAGAGAATCTCCAAAAGCTGATCGAGCTGAAATTAGATTTTTACTGCCCTTGGTTCAAAAAAGAACAGCTCCAAAAACCATAATTTGCTTAGATTTAATTTTGCACCTCAAACAACAAACAAGCATGAAGCAGCCAGAGCAGCAAGCAGGTTGACTGTTGACCCAGCAGGCCAGCTCTGCAATTTGCAGGATTGCATATCATGGCATCAACATGCTAGTTGGAGAAAGTATTAATTGTTTTAGACATATTGCTGCTCTAATACGGTAATATCATATAATTTCAGTAGTTAAGATTTGACAAAATTATACATGGAAAATCTAATGACTTAGGTATGTGCACAGAAATTTTTTTATACAATCCTAATGAAAATTAGAAGCTGGAACCTTCACACTATTGGATTTGTCAGAACCTTGAGCTTGAGACTGTTTTTAGAGTAATTTTTGTGCTTTAATTCTTGATTATCTCAATATTTTTGTGATTTTGTAATTATTTCTAATAATTTTGATTTTTTAGTAGTATCCTATTTACATGATTTTGTACTTATTTTGACCAAAATTTCATCACTCAATGTGCCTTTAAACTTGATAATGAATGATTGATACATTTGAAACATTATTAAAGAAATTAAAATGTCTCTTGGTAGTTTTCACCTTTTGGCACACTGATTTTTGATTTTCCCCAGTGCAAACAAAAAATATTATTTAATCTATTGAAAAATCTAATAAGAAAATTGCCTAATGCCTATAAAATGAATTCTCTGGTCTTCAATGAAACCTGCTTAAAGAAACAAATTTTGTCAACCTATACTAATATCCTGATGAAAATTATATATCTGAAAAGAGAAAAAAACAGAAAAATAGTATAGAAATTAAATTTGAGTATAAATAAAAGTGAAAAAGTTATAAAGTACCGTAAAATGGGGTAACTTAGACCGGCGGGGTAACTTAGACCACTTTTCATTTTTTTAACAAAAACCCCCACAACTCAAAAACTATTTGACATAGAAAAATTTTGTCAATGGGCATTAAAGGCCTAATACTGAGGCTACATAACACAATAGAAAGATTTTAAATTTTTGCATATCTAATAGGTTAAAAAATTAAAAATGTGACCTACAAAAAAAAGCTATTATTTAAAACCTGTCAGAGTACCCCCTCCAATTTTTTTATTTTTCGGTTAAATAACTCCAGGTTTTGATGCATTGTAGTAGAACTCTTCTAGTTACATATGCAAATGACAAATTTTAGGAAAGTGTCATAGTTTGCAAATGGGGGGCGCCGCCCCCAAATGGGGTAACTTAGACCACCTAATGTCAGCCCTGATGGGGTAACATAGACTGGCTTGGAAGTTAATATAAAATTACCATATATAACATATTTTATATTTGACAGCCTATTTATGTTTTTTCTTTATGTTTCAGACTCTACAGAGTCTTATATATGGTAATTTTAACTTCCAAGCCAGTCAATATTACCCCATCAGGGCTGCCATTAGGTAGTCACATTTCCCTCATTATGGGGCAGCGCCCCCCATTTGCAAACTATGACACTTTCCTCAAGTTTGTCATTTGCATATGTAACTAGAAGAGTTCTACTACAATGCACCAAAACCTGGAGTTATTTGGAATTATTTTACCAAAAAATATAATTAATTTTACCACCCGGTCTAAGTTACCCCAAGAGCTGGGGTAACAAAGACCATCACATTTTTTGAAATAACATAAAGACTATGAGAGGCAGAAGCCAGCAATTTATGGTGAGTGAATCTGGAGTATAGACCTGTATTTTGCAGGTTTCAATTCAAGTTTAATTTAGCTAGTAAAAAAATGGCATCATTTATAAAAAAAAAGTGGTCTAAGTTACCCCATTTTACGGTATTTCTTTTATTCAAATATAATGTTCCAAGGATGAACCAATTTTTGGCCTTTTTTTAAATTATCATTTCTAAGTTTTCTAGGAGTCAATTTAAAAATTTTTAGCACAATTAGAAAGCTCTTGTTGTAGGCTATCTATTCTAACTAAAATAGAACATTTTGGTTGAGACCTTGACTGCAGGTGGGTGGGGGAAATAGGTGTGCCTGATAGATATCTAGTGAGGAAAAGATCTACTCTCTGAACTGTAACTGGATTTTTCAAGCAGTGGTTTTATGAATTTGCAAGCCACAATTTCATTTCTTTTTGAGCTGTGAATTCCATATCTCGTGCTATCAGCGGCCATGAAGAGCCATTTACAGGCCACAAACTCATTTACACCAAGTCCTGTGCACATGTTACCCAAATCTCTGATTTTACCCTAGAAACAGCAACAATAGATTTGTCTTTACTTGAGTGGCAACTGAACAAGTGATAATGCAGTCTGACCAGTCTGACAAGACTGCAACTATGCAATTTTCAACAAAAATTTTTGGGTTGACTGGTTATCATGACATTATGCACTATGCAGTATGCAGGAATTTTGGTGGGAGCGTTGAAGTACTGCGGAAGTTGAAAATTGTATGAAATGACATGTTTGCGAAGTACAAACTGCAATTTTTTCAATCAAACAAAAAACATGAAATTAGAGCCACAAGATTTCATACCTACTGAAATTATATGATATTAGAACTGCAATATTTCAGAAAAAAGTAGGACTCTTTCCTAATAGATAGATATGAATGGTAGAAATTCATCAAAAGGCATAATTGAACAGAATACATTTGTTTGTTAGATAAATGACAAATAAAAAATAAATACCGGTAATTAATGAATGACAAATTATATATGAATGATAGACGAGTGATGCAGGTGGGTTCATTGATGCATTAATGTATAGTAATAAATAATAATGAATGATAATTGATAACAATAAAAAATATAATAATATATTACTACTTGTACTAGTAGTACCACATCACCATATGCCATTGCAGCTGCCATTCCCATCGTCATAGCACTCCTTGTTTTGTGAATTCAGTCTTCTGCAATAAATGTGGGACTATTGGCAGAGCTCTGAAATTTAGAGAGCATGCTCGAAGAACAATTAGCATGAACTATTAGGCCCAATATCAAAGTTTATTTATAGCATACAGCCATACACTAGTAGTAGCCTACACTGTCTCTAGGCTGACTGGCACTTGACTAGTTTCACTAGTAAGTAGACAAGAAGGTAGGTGCAAGTAAACTATTTCATATAACAATGTCTTTGTAACAGTAAAATTGTCCTGATTAGTCAATTACATGCAATTCAGTCAACTCCTAAACTTTGAAATATTAACCAAAATGGGAAGACCGCTCACATCACTGAATTGCTACCGCATGACTGAACATCATCCATGGTGCTGCCATTGCCATCTGCACGCAGCATGGGCGTTAGACTAAAAAGTTCTCTTTTTTTAGGACTTCTACCATTCCTGTCCGACTAGCTGCAGAGCTCTGAAATTTGGAGAGCATGTTCAAAGAACTGTAATCTTGCTTTCCTACTATCTTTCATTAATGGCCCAATACAATCTAAAAGTTTATTTTTAGCAGAATGTTGTATCCTTTGCAAATCCCATCCAAGCAAGTAGTAGATGATAGAAATTTCTCAAAAAAAAAAAAAAAAAACAAGATGTTGTCCTCATAATTAAATTTTTTGTTTGTTTCCAAACACACATCTATTAAATTAAGCTACTAGTTAGGCAGGAATTTTAAAACTAAATGCCTCCCTCATGCTGAAGCAAAAACTGCCTGTCTATCATTTCGGTAGCTTTGTTGTGATCCGCACATGGTTTGTGCACATACCTACTAATGTAATGCATTATTGTTTGATTGAAAATATCTTGGTTCACAATCATATCATTTCACAAAAATTTTAAACTTCTGCAGTTCAGTACTGCACTCATGCCAAATTATTCTGCATAATGAACTAACCCAAAAAATATTTTGTTGGCAATTGCATAGTTGCAGCCATGGCAGACTGCATTATTTCTTCAACTAAAATATGAACAATACTACCTACATTGTCACATCTTCAATTGCCTCTAAAGGGAAGACAAATGTTCTTGTTGCTGTTTCTAGGGTAAAATTAGAGATTTTTGGGAACACATGCCTGGGAGTGATGAGACTTTGCAGCTCATAAATGGCTTTTCCCATTGCTTTCCATGGTAGTCATGACTTGAAGAATCATGGCTTCTCACTAATCCATAAATTTTTGGCTCAAAAAATCCTGTTGCAATTCACAGAGTAGATGCTTTCCTCACTAAATTACATTGATAAATGCCATTTTGAAAAATAAAGCAGAAGCTTTCATAAATGATATTACCTATAATGACACTGCTTTTGATCAATTACACCAATTTTATGGCCCTTGTGTAATTTTTGGCAAGGCTTAAGAAAAAAATTTTTTTTACTGCTATTTTAGAAAATTGCCTGTAGTTTTTATCTGCAATTTTTTGAAAATTATTCTTGACATTCCAGATTGGGATAAATGAACTTTTTAATTTAAAAATAGGTACTATTATCCTCAATTCCATCAATCTAAATTCTGTCATTTTTAATATCATCATTTCAAATTCTATATCAATTTGACAATTTTTGAAAAATCAGATGCTATTTAAAGACTTACCCTATACCAAGCACAAATTAGCATGTAGTTTGCAATTAAGCCTGCAGTTTGAAATTTAAAGCATATTCAAATGAATTCATTAAATTGGTTTGCAAATCTAAAGTAGTTTTTCTATATGTAACAATTCACCTTTTTCTCTTCCTATCCTGAAATTCCTTATGATTCAACCATGAAGAATAAAAATCCTGAACCAAGCCATCTACCAACACAATATTTTTGGGCCTCAACTGTTTGTTTCTTTCTGATAGAATTATTTTTAATATACTGAGTAAAAATATAAATGATCATTTCATGTAAATTTTTAAGATATTTGGCTTTGCTAACTTAGAGCCCTAGGCTGCATTATTGCATTATAATTTTTGAAAAGTCATATTGTTTGAGCAGATTAGTGTTGATTGTAGTCAATCCTGTGCCAGATTCAAAGGTAAGGCTATTCAAGACTTGAGTAGCCTTATTTGTCAATGATAATAGAAAATAATTCTGACTAAACTTTTTTTTCACTTCCTTACATAACATAGGTATAGATAGAGCAATAGGTTTTTATTTTAAATTTATTGTTGAATTCAAGCTGTTCTGCAGACTAGATACATGCATGCTAGTTTTAGGTATTACATTGAATGTTCTCAATTCTCTTTTCAGCCTCCAAAGATGTGAAGGGAAATTTAGCTTATGGCACTAAATCTGTCCAGTCAGCTCTACGGAAAGATGTCAAGGGGTAAGTAGATATGTTAACCTACTGTTTAAGTGTTGCAGTAATTGTAAATTTTATTTTTGCTCAGGAATGAACTAAAATAATATTTTACCAAAACATTTTAGTTAGTGAATGAACTAAAATCGAAGTCATGAAAAAAAGCACTATGTATGGTACAGTACCATATTCAAATGAATTGCCTATGTCCTATTAAAATGATTCAATTGTTAATTGTTGTCTCATGGCTGGAATCCCTTCCATTTACTTCTCTGCATTTGCCTAAAGATTTCTTTCAGTAGCGTTTTCTCAGCTTTACTTTTCCTAATTGTTGTGTAGTTACAGTACACTCTATGTAAAAAAAATCAATTGAATTACCAGTCAATTTTTATTGTTGAAAACATCCCATAATAATTATACAAATTGATATGAGCAAAGATGTTTGGATTTTTTCAGGATTGTTTTAATTGATGGTTCACTGCGGCCAATAGACACATTGTGCCATTTACCTGGAGTATGCGAGGAGAAGAACATCCCCTACATCTACGTGACATGCAACACAGACCTCGCTGGAGGCAAGATCTCACGCAGCCACGTCATGCTCATCAAACCCAACCCTGACTACCAGGAGGCCTATGATAAGGTCCTCGAAGACATCAAAACCACACCTCTCGACTATTAAGATAGCAATAAAGTTACTCGTGTTGTCATTTTTCCTGCTGCTATAAATAAGATCAGACGCACTATCAACTGGACCTACTAATAATTGAATAAGTTTTTAATGAAGAAAATCACTATTGATATTAGTTTGTAAAATTTGTAAAAAACTGAAGTACGAATGTTCTATATTCTGTAATCTTTTCATTCCATTTTCTATATTCAAATGACCCAACTGATGCACCTTGATGTAAGTATGTAGTGGGTTATAAGATAACTGAATTGGCAAATATTCTTTGAGAACGTTAGAATAAATCATCAGTTAGACTTTCACTGATCATGTTTCTTGATATAACTCAACACGCCAAATTAAATCTGGCACTTCAGACTGCTTAGCACAAAAGATCAATTTGAAATTGTATAACACATTCTTCACTCACGATCTATTCTTCCTCTGAGAACAAGCTACTTCTTGACGCTCATTGAAAACTCAATATTTTTTTTATTATATTGATTTTGAAATTAACAATTGAAATAACTGAAAATCTAGAGAATAAAACTATGGCATGAAATTGCCAGAGATTGATTCAGATAACTACATGCCAAGAGTCTCGGTAGTTCCAGTTCAATACACTTCGATGGCACGCACAATGGTCCCAAAATCAGCAAGATGCAAGCCTGCTATGACCTGTTGTTAAACGGCTCTCACAAGCAAGAAACGTCTTGCACTCGGAATGAATTACTTACTCATACTGTGTAAATGTATTCTAGAATAGCTTCCTTTATCAACTCCTGACGTGTACGTAACTCTAAATTTATGGATAAGCTCGCGGTAGAAAATTCCAGTCAATTTCTTTTTTGTTTTGCTTCATAAGTAATTCGTTGCATTTAGAGAAATGGCGGCACCCAAAAAACCCTCGATGAGCAGAAAGCGGTGAGGGGTGCACGGTGGACAGAAGGTGATGCTCAGTCTGCGAATCAAAATGTAAAACACATGTATATACTATTGTAGAGTGCCACTTTGACAAAACGACACGTTTCTCTTGAAAGTTAACCTTCCACAGTGTCTAAGATCAAGCACGACAGAATGTTATATTGACTAAATCGCATTGACGTTTGCAAGCGTGCGTATATTTAAGAAGTTGTCTGCCCATTGAGTCTCCTACCAAGAAATACTTGGCAACATAGTACTCACTTTGTTTATGTGAGCAACTTTTTTCTGCGCATACGCGCCCCAGAGAAGAAATACGACACCCTTGTTGCTGCTGGCTACGGCCGAGATTACTGCAGATGTGAACTTTTCCCAGCCTTTGTCTTTGTGCGAGTTAGCGTTGCCGCCTCGCACTGTCAGTACAGCATTCAGGAGCAGCACTCCTGTACAACCATTCAATAATGAGGCGCGCGCATGTGTATTGTGTAGTGATGTTCGTTGTGATGGATCGCGGTTCATTCATAAAGCATGGAATTATAAGGCAATAGTGGAGCAAATACACCTGTTTCATTGTAAGACAGCAAAAGTTTAGTGAGGTTGAAAACACAAATTTATGCATTGGAAAGAGGCAGTAATCAAACACTGCAACTAATAAATATGAACAATAGTAAGGAGCGCAGAAGGCTTTGGGGAAAGAAAGAGAGAATCAGGATCATGGTCATTTCAGCCCATTTCCTGTAACCCTGAATACAGAAAGCCACAATTATGAAAAACTATCATTAGCAACTTTTTATTGTCCGTTATCGGCCTTCTCATACGTTAAAAGTATTTTCATCATGTGACTCCTGACTCCACGAGGCAAAAATTCACGTAGTGACCTGAGTACTCTAGCAAGCCTCTCACCTTGTTTTGCCCAGCCAACGAGGTAACCATGACCAGGATTCTTGAAGCCCTCAACGTCCACCTCGAGCTCCTTGTAAATGTTCTTCAAGCTGCCCATGCAAAAAACATATTTGAAGCAACCTCGTGCAAACCCAGCCTTCAGGCATCCATATCTGAGTATAAATAATGAGCTTTACTTTCATAACTTGATGACATGTGAATGACAATAGTCACATAATTGCATAAAATTTCTTTGATAATTTACAATACAAATGCAATTAAAGAAAAGTTGTTTTACTTTCTCATTCAGAACACATTTTTGATACTGCCAGAATAACACAAACTATAATACTATGAACATCCAAAAAAGATTTATTGCGAGATAAATGTTACTAAAGTATGAATGAAACGTAAGGGATTGAGTATACTGACGATTTGTCAAAAAATTCCATTCGTTATAATGAAATACATCAAATTATGGGGAAAGGCGCATCATGATACAAGGCGGAAATTTAAAGTATTGCAACTCTTTGCTGAATCGGCACAGAAAAAATTGTACTTAGGCTTTGTATGATTGAAATTTATGTTTCTTCATATTATAAGATTGGATAAAGCCAAACCTTGGAGGAATCGGCACAGTCGGCAGAACGCTGAAACACAGTCCTGCAAAATAATTCCAACCAAATGAAAATTTATATTAAAAGGCCATTGAATTCCTGTTTCCTCAGTAATGTCTCATTTAGGTACAAACTTCTTCAGGAATAATTTTTGTGAATTCATACCTGGAGTTTAGTTTTGTTATCTGGAATTATTGGTAAGATTTGGTGTCTATGATCGGTAATAAAACCCTGACGTTACACAGTTCTGGAAAGTTTTATTTCACTAGTGGAGAAAAGCAAATTTTTACTTCACATAATTATCGTTAGTATTCAAATCCTAACCTCAGTTATATCAGCTAGGATGTGGCCGAGTGATTAAAAGCACCAAGATTGGATCAGTGAGTTGGGAACTGGTTGTGAAACCCGGAACTGGTTGTGAAAATTCTCGTCAAAATCAGCAAGGTGGCTTGGTGGCTAAAAATACGCCACCAAGCCACAAAAAATAAGCCACAGACCATCATGGCCTAACCAAAGCTGACACCACTATATTATTACTATTTGGGTATTTTTCAATTATAATAATAAATATTATCATAAGACCCAATCTCACCGTGAGCCTGATTAGGACCATGGTAAGGATCCTGCCCCAGAATGACGACCTTCACGTCGCTGATGTCGCAGTACCGAGACCAGGAGAAGACATTTTCCTCCAGAGGATACACAGAGTGTGACTTGCGTTCACCGACTACAAATTTTGTCAGCTGGAACATGTTTATAATCAGAAACCCGTCAAACACAATGACCTAAATTTTTCTCTGTCTATCATTAAGAATTGTTATTAAATTTGCGACAATAAATGTTCGATTCAAATTTCATTTCAATACGTCACATTTCAAAAGGAATCAAATTGAGACTCAAAATATAGAACTACATTACGATACCTTCAACTTTTGGCAGTTTTATAACACTTCACTTTCAAAGGCAGGAGATGGACATGATCACTAGCAAGGTAGGCAGATACTAAAGCACCTGGCTTGCAGCTACATAGACCTGACCTAACACATTCAAACCACTACAACATTGAGGTAAGCAGAAGCAGTGACATTCTGAATGGGCAAATTTAATGATGCACATTCTATCTTACTATATATATACTCAAGAATGTAATATAACTTGAATAATTTTCATCATTCAATAGACATTAGCAATATGGGCACAGTAAAATAAGATATGTATATATTTATTCATTATTAAAATGGGAAAACCACAAGAATTACGCATCTGGGGATGATAGAAGGTAAATAAAAATCTATCATGATAAAAAACCATAGATACACTAAGCTACACAATGAAACATGCAAAAAATGGAAAAATGAAACTCAGTACTCGCTGCAGTGAGTGACACAGTGCACATTTTCTTGTCGATGAAAACTTGAGGTCACGGACAGACAGACAGACATTGCGAGCACAATAGTGCATTTTTTCCATAAATGAGAAAATGCGCTAAAAAGCATGTGGAGTAAGTCTTCTACGGCTGTCTTTTCATGGAAAAAAACTCACCTCTGCAAAGTACGGCTTGGAAAATTCATCTCGTAAAGCCAAATGCCAGGATTGACCAATACTTGAATGTAGTGGTGGAGAAGAAGAAGGCTGTGACAGATTTTCAATCTGGAACAGAATGTTGAATTTAAAATAGAATAACTGAAATGAAATACACTTTTTCCTTGTCATAGCTCACAAGCAACATTGTTCAAAACAGCAATGTCAGTGGCTCAGCATTTGGTTTCATTTTATAAACATGCTTTCATTTTAACTTAAGGTTCTAGTTAAAGCAGTAATTTTCAAAGTGGTATTTTCCATCCTTTTTAAAGGAAAGTTAAATTAAATATAATCATACAAAACTAGTGAAATGTATAAAATTTATTATTTGCAAGCAATTTATTATACTAATTAAATTTTTTTTACTCACATCAGACTTAGGAGCTATGTTTTCAGGACCTGGAAAATCAATAGGTGCTGAAAAATTACTATTATATAGGTACTAATATTTCTAATATCAGACATTATTCAGCTTTATTTACAAAAATTATTTTAAGTTTGTTTGAAAATTTTTAATATACAGTCAATTAATGGTAATTGTTTTTATAATTATCTCCAAAATCATAGAACTTACTCAAATAGCCTGCAGTTAGAGAAAGGATAACAATAATCATAGAAAGACAATCAAAACATCCCATGAACTATGAGGGGGTTATTAAGGAATTTCTTTGTTGTAAATTATAACATAAAGTTTGAGATATAGAATAAAATGTAAGTGTGGCTTGGCAAACAAGTTTTCAGCTGGAACATTGCTTTCTCAGCTGGGAAAGTAAAACCTTGTATAGGAATCCTGGGTTTAAAAACCTTACGCATGGCTTAAAAATGGACTCCTGGCCAGAAATAAAAATTAACTCACGGTTCCAAAAATCTATAGCCAGGGCATAAGCCACAAGGGTTAGAGACAGTCAGTGATTAGATTTTCCACACAAATATTTCAGCCTTAGTAAATACTAGACAAATACTAAAATTGATCTCAAACTTAAAGATTGATAATAACGAGCATTCAGCATAGACTATGCATGGTGGCACACCAGACTGTCCAGACATTTTTTAATCAGTTCATTTTCAATTTCCATCTCTACTCAATACTCATGATTTAAACTAATATCTTGTATATTACTATGCTGGTATCTATTATACTTTATTTTATTTATCTACTACTGGGATTCAAAAATGAACTTGAGGATGAGTCTAAAAAACTCATTGCTTTGCCAGTTTGTGGCACCACCATCATGAATTAATGAGAAAGTGATTTCCCTAATGCCTGATGATCAAAGTTCAAAGCAAAAGCTATATTAGCCTAAAGTCAAGAGACAGTGAGACTCATGAATGCCCATTAATTACAAACATTCAACAAAGAAAACTTAAAAATTTCACAAGCAGTTCATTGTCGCACATTGCACAATGAACTGCTTTGTGCCAAAATTGTGCGATCATGGAAACTTGTAAGAAACATTTTGCCATTAAATTATTTGAAAAAATCTGCTGTCTTCTAGTCCTGCCAAGTGCCAGCTGCCTGTCCTGGAGGCTGGACTCCTGGTCCTCCAGCCTCCTGAGTCCTGGATAGTGGATACCCCAGGCGGCAGGCACCAGTCCGGCCAGTCTGCCAGACGGGCCAGTCCCCAGACAATTTTACTTCAAGTTAATGAAGTTATCATTATACAAATCTACAAATTACCAGAGGGCAGAGATACATACCTTTTTTGGAATCTTCAATGCCATGAACTTCCTCTAGGTGCAGAAACTTTGCATTTTGTTTCTTTTCTGCTGGGCCAGCACAAACAGAGCTCTGTAAATGAAAGTGATTTTAGATTTCAAGCAAAAATGAAAAAATATCCTGTTGAGGCTGTTGATATTGCTAGAATTGTAATTTTAAATTTCTCAATTTATTTTTATTGCTCTCTGATTCAACAAAATCAATATTTTAAAAAACTCGAACATCAACATGTCATATGTAAAGTTTTAGCAATTTTTAAGCACCATAATTATGAATATTACTTTGCCATGTAGTTTACGTTTCATGTTGTTAATGTTTGGCAAATTAGAAGGCTTGAAGTAGACTTTTATAGATTTTTGAGCCATGGCAACGGATTTGTAAACGCAATGCACGTCAGTTCAGCTGTGCGTTGCTATGGAGACTGGTTCAATATTAGACCGACGCCCGCCAAATCTTGAATTAAATTCTTGGTCACTTGATTCCGCAGGTGAAGAATTTATATTTTATGATAAAGCGACACTAAAAATTAAAATTGGCAAACTGAAGACTATTTTACAACACTTCTCTTCAACTTCACTTCTTGTTTGTCTGCTACAAATCTTATAATCGATACTTAACACACTTCTACCTGTCCAATCGACCTGAAATTTTGCACACCTGCATGAGGTTGGAGACAATGCATGAATCAATTGACAGAATAAATAATTTCAAAAATTAAAAAATTATTAGAAACAATGTTTAAAAATATTTTTATATACTAAAAACAGAAACTGATTATACATTAATTATTAACATCGGAGACGATGGCCTCTTAGAGGTGTTATAATAATAATAATAATAGCGGTTTCAGCGTTTATTAGGCCGTGGGCCTGTCGCTGATTCTTAACATCGCAGAACATTCACAGCATTTTGCGGTCTCGAACTCGCAACTCACTGCTACAATTCTGCTGTGCTTAACCGCCCGGCCTCCTTGCCGATTCTGACCAGAAACTGACGCACAGAGCTGGGATCGAACCCGCGCCTCTCTGCGCCAATATCTTGGTACTCTGAACTTTAACCACTGGGCCACCCCCATAAGGTGTTGTCTTTAAAAAGTAATTTTTAAGTGCATATTATTTATTTATGAAATCATTACACCATTTTTACTCATCGTCATCATCGCTTCTTACATTATATTGAGCGGGAACCATTCAATAATTTTTAACACTGAATCAGAAGCTAGTTCATCGATGAGCCAAGGACGAACAATTTGGATTAGCGGAGAAGGCAAGTAAAAATAAAAGATAATCAAAGAATAACTAATGTGAATTAGAAAAAGCAGAGAGAGAAGCAGACAGATGTTTAAACCGCTTATCGAAGACTACTCAGGGCCTAAAAACATGCGGAAGGTGCTTCAATTTCAGTTTAATTGATATTTGACAGTTGGCTTTGGAGACATGAGCTTGCTGTGAATTTTGGCCCATATCTCCGTATTATTCACCAAAGAAGTCATATATCTAACAAAATATTTTCGATTTGAACAACAACGGAAGGCATCTTTGAATAAGTTTGCATAGTTTCGGTAAATTGGCTGAGGGATGCATATCAGTATGACCTGAAATTTTTGCATCCATAAATTCCAATTCCATATATTTCATAAAATCACAGAAATCGAATTTAGAAGAAATTTTTTGGTCACTGCAAATTTCGGTGCAAATTGCTCCATAACTCACGAATGAAGGTGAAATGGGAAAATTTTTCATTAGACAAACATCACCGTTAGGTCCTAACGAATACGTGTACCAAATTTCATACTGTGTGTAGATAATATAATTATATAATAAATAATAATAATAATAATAATAGCGGTTTCAGCGTTTAATAGGCCGTAGGCCTGTCGCCGATTCTTAACATCGCATAACATTCACAGCATTTTGCGGTCTCGAACTCGCAACTCACTGCTACAATTCTGCTGTGCTTAACCGCCCGGCCTCCTCGCCGATTCTGACCAGAAACTGGCGTACAGAGCTGGGATCGAACCCGCGCCTCTTTGCGCCAATCTTGGTACTCTGAACTTAACCACTGGGCCACCCTGCCCACCATATAATTTTAATTGTAATGGCAATTTGTACGTAACAAAGAAAAATATCCAAATTACATCGGATAAAATTATAAATGGTGTTAAAATTTCAGAGTGTCCGTTTGGTCGTTCAGGATACAGTTAATATAAATAACTTTTTAAATTAAAACGGCAAAAATGCTGTTTGATTTGTGCGAGTATCTGTCCAGTCATTTTTGAAATAAAAAGAATGTGATAATTTTTTTAATTCAGCCTGGAATTTCGGCCAAACCAAGAGATTTTCTTCACAATTTAAATGAGGTTGAATTGCATATGTTTTCTGCTGGAATTTCCTCAGTAAACTTTCAATAATTATTCACGGAAGACATCCATCAGTAAATTCTTTATTAGAGATCAATAACTTCGATAAATATTCCATACATCTTCACTTATACGGACCATTGTCATTTCCTACTTTGTTATATTCATTGCTGCCCCATACATCACGATGGTTAACGTCGACTACCCTTTTGCTTCGGTATCATTTTCGTCATCATCATCATCCATTCAGTCATTGACAACGACTTGAATGTTAGAGAAAAACTTCTGTACGACAAGATACGGTCAAATGACACGATTTTAGATCTTCTGTGAACAAGGCACGAAACGGAAAAGAATCGGCGACAGGCCACATCGGGCCTACACTTCAGCTCCGAGATCACTATGTTACGTTATGTTAAATCGCCGACCATATTCACTCGAGTCGCCAGATGTACGGCAATGCAAAATCGAAAAAACTTACAGTGGCCGAAAGTTAGCAGTAGCGTTATTCCTGTTCAATGCCTATTAGCATTGGGTTTCCGTTGGGCTTAAATACGTGTTTTCGGTTTAGTTTTCATCATGGAAAAATGTTCGAAGAAATTATTATAGGTTTGTACCTAAGACGTCACACATATTAATTTTTACAAGTGCTTAGGTTTGTTATTCCTGATGGGTAACTACATATCATTACCTATCCATCTTATTCCATTTAAACGCATTCTCCTCCTCGCATCGTAAATTCTTTTAAAGTCTGAATGTAAGAAAAATTCTCCCTTACCTCGAAAACAATAACCGTTGCGTCTGCACTTCATGCTTTACTTGCGTTGATAGCTCTTCATTTCTGGAGCAAATCACACGCGATTTCTACAATAGAATATTGAATATATGAATACAATTCTTCTGCTTACTTTAATTCTGATGCTAGCGAAATAAGAATCATATTAACGTTGAGAATTACGATGTTGTTTATATAGCTTTGTAAATGATTAAGACTATCATATCACTCATTTATTTTTAAATGTTTGTGTTTTTAGCTAACGACTATTATAGAATTATCTAGTACGTATAGCTATCTTATTAAGTTAATTAATTATATTACTACACCACATAATAGTTTATTCAGCGTGCCATTCATTGTTGAATTATCTCAACAGGTACTCGTACTTCATATGCAATAATAATATTTAAAATGAAGCAAATTTTCGATAAGTCATTTTAGGGCGTTAATACTAGTTCAGAGACAATTAAAGTTAAATTATTTTAGAAACAATTAATTTAATAATGTTCACCAATTACAATTTCTTGGAAGTAGAGACTCTTATATGAAAGAAGAGACTCATATAATTTGACAACACGACTTAAGGGTTTGCTTATATCGGTAGATCAATTCAACTCGATACTAAACGCTTGGACGCCGCGACATGAATCAACAACACCTGTGCAGAATAACGATTTCATGTGCTGTTCATTAAGGTAACTATTCCGGAGGCAGTGTCTGTTGCAACTCTACACAACACACATCGTGCTTTTGGGAGCGGTATCGGGATAGCCGCACGCAAAGTCGTAGACTGTGAGTGGGTAACCACCAACAATCATGCAGGTCTCGCTGCCGTAGTGGGGGTTCCCTGGGTACCACGGGAAGGGGTAGTTCGCGGGCAACACAAAGCTGGAGGATAGCGCTGCGTACGATCCGTCGCTTTGTCGCTTCAGGTCAACGGAAAACCAGGTTTTCATCCTGATGCTCATCACTGCTCGGTCCTGAGAATTGTGTGAGCAAGCAAAATTAGCTTGGGTGCAGTAAGTTTTTGGGAAATTTAAGAACAAACACTTATTGATTCTGTCACCTGCTGTAATTTGAGACTGATTGATACCGATGCCTCCGCGCGTATGGTGTGTTGGGGATTTTTGTGTAATAGTAATCTCAATTTAAATATTGCTAGCTTAAATGGTACTATGAGTTATTAAGGTGATCGTATTATTATTATGTTATATTTATTGCATACGAAAATGACCTTCTTTAGAGTTCTATTGAGATTCCTATTACAGGTAGCTTCAATTTATGAGAAAAAAAATTACCACCTAAAAAAAATAAACGGAGGAGGTAAATATTCGCCGATAAGCAAATAATATTCGTATAAGAGAGGTAAGGCTCATTAATTTCACTCATTAAGCGGATCAGTTGTAGCATTCATTATTTTCTGCACCTTGATGCTAACTGGGTACGGGACCAGCCTCAGACCGAGACCGCTGCAGAAGTCGTACGCATGTCTGCTCGAAAATTCAGAATTAAACTTTAAGTGACGTCATTCCAGTAACATTTTACAGCTGCGTCTATCCATAAGCATATTATTGTTTATCTTTCAAGCCAGAATAATTCAGATTTATTTAATCGGTTGAGGTCGGAGCAAAATTTAAATCTAGAATTCTAAACATCCTACGCTGGCCGTGACTTACTGCCAGGAATTTCCCGAAAATGGAAATTCAACGACAGTCGCGCTGCTGTCGAGGCTGAGAATCGCGTAGGCTGAGGGCACCAGCGTTGCCGTGGCTCCCGGCACTGTTGAGTCCACGACGAACCTGCAAGGCTGCGGCTGCAAAAAAAGGTTATGGAAGACATGACCACCGGAACTAATATGAAGCAAAATTCTTTTACTAATTAGTTACTGATCTTGTTTTAAAATCGAAAATAACCTGTGTTAGAGTAAAGCATTTTTGAATTATTCTACTGGAAATCGGCTGTGTACACGGCAGGCCAATCAATTAGCCGTAAATATGAGGAGGTCCAGTTAGGAAAGTATTATTAGAACAAAGATCCAAATGGTCATTATGTACAACTTCATGCTACATGTATTATAAATTTTTAAAGTCGTAATTTAGGGCCAGTATAGGACGGTCTGGCACTCCAGACGCAGATCACGCGTTCTGTCACAGTCAGTTGTCATCTCTCTCTTCTTTACGTTAGTAGCCTTCACAGTTTTGCTTCTTTTTTGCTCGAGCTAGCATATACCAAAAACATATTCAATAAAACGTCAGGAGTAAATCTTATTGAGATATATCCTTAGATATCACTTTTGTGCGTGGT